TGTTGAGGCTCCAGAACCAAAAGATTTGTTGGAATGATTTGGCAGATGGTATGCCCCTGTGTTTCCGTTTCTTCCTCCCCTCTTCTCCCTTCCTCTGGGAACCAAACCCAGAGCCTCACACATGTTAGGCAGTTTTTCTACTGAGCTGTCCCTGCAGCCTGATGAATTGGAGTAGGGGGTAATGTAAGATCAATATGTAAGCTTATAGTTGAGGTTCTTACGGCTGAGTAGCCTGTGGGCAGATGGTCATAACCCTTAACTTGCCACTTAGGAAGTCTGGTTTCAAGAAATACTTTGATCAGTGGAGGACATAAATGTAGATGAAAATGTAGAGAGAGAGAGACTGTGTGCAGTGAAGACAGAACTGGGCAGAGTGCAGAGCTGGAGAGAGAAGCTGTAGGGGGATTGAGGAGACTGAGGAGGAACGATCAGAGCTGGAAGGAAACCTGGGAGGTGGGGGTGTCAGTGGGAGCCCAGGCTTCACATAGAAAGAGACTGACTGTTCCTCTCAAGATCGTAAGTCTGGTTTATTTTCTCTCTTAGTTGTAGTGACCTGTTTGCTTCCAACATGTGCAGGCTGCAGCCTCAGCAGCAGACAGTTTACACAAGTCTCCCTGTGTGAGCCTGGTTTGTAAATGCAGCAGTCCTGCCCTCTTCTGACTTGCAGAGCTCGAATCCTGTTGTAGTTGTTCTTAGCATGTGGGACACAGTGGTGTTTGGCAGTTTCTTGTCAGCATAGCTAGCTTTCTTCTTACGTGGTGTTTATTTCCCATTACCCTCACTCCTCCCATTCAGGGTTGCTAATAAGTATGAATTTTCTTCCCTCCCCCTCATTGTCCCCCCACCCCTTCTTTGGTACTGGGGATTGAACTCAGGACCTCATGCTTACCAAGCAAGTGACTGAGCCACTGAGCTAAGTCCCCAGCCCTGCCCTGTCCCCTTTTTACACATGGTTTTTACCAGCTGTTTCTTGTACCTTGTGCTCCCGTTCTGTCCTTTCGTTACTAGCAGCTCTACTACCAATCTCCTGCCCCTCTCCTTTTTCCTTCTTCCTGATATATTCTGTAATGGTTTCTCATATTTGTATTTATATTTGTGTCTAGTTTTTTTGTGTGTGCGTGATACTGGCAATTGAACCCAGAGCTTCTTGAATACTAGGCAAGTGTCACCACTGAGCTACATCCCAAAATCTCTTTATTTTAATTTTATTTAAGAGGAAAAAGAGAAAAAACAAAACAAAGTGGTGTAAGGGTACAAGTAATACAGAACTACAAAAAAAAAAAAAAAAAAAAAAAAAGACACCGTAAGAAATCACCAGTTAATAGATTACACATTATCATCTTAGAGATAGTTGCTCAAGTCACAGTATCAAAGCATACAAAGTGGACATTAAAACAGCAAGACCGCAAACAGTTGTGTTCAGTGATCCAACCAAAAACATTAATATGGTCATCTATTTAACACCCCTAAACACACTTGCAGTTGTATCCTTTAGAGCACTTTTTTTCCCTCTCTTTTTTACAACACAATTTACACATTTTGGGTTTTATTACTCCTTAGTTCTTATTACTTTTTTTTTTTTGAGGAGAATAAAGTCAAATATGGCAAAACAAAGCTGTCAAAACCAAGGATAGACATAGCACACGATGTAAAAACAGTACAAGGTTATCAACAATGGAAATCTCTTTATTTTAAGGCAAAATCTTGCTAGATTTTCCAACTTGTCCTTGAATTTTTTTTTTTTTTTTTTTTTGTACCTGGGATTGAACTAATGATCTTACACTTGCCAGGCAGGTGCTTACATGTATTCCAACATTGGTTCTCCCTAAATTGCTACGGTTGGGCTTGAACTGCAATCTTCCTGCCTCAGCTTCCCACTGTGTGCTACCATGCCCAGCCTAGATAGTTCTTTTTTTTGAGACAGGGTCTGCTGTATAGTCCAAGCTGGCCTTGAACTCACTTTGTAGCCCATAATGGTCTAGAACTCCTGGCAATCCTCCTGCCTCAGCTTCCCCAGGTGTGGAATTATAGGCATGTGCTACCACATCTACCAGATTGTTTTGTTTGTTTGTTTCTTTCTTTCTTTTTCTTCTTTTTTTTTTTTTTTTTTTTTTTTTTTTTTTTTTTTTTGAGAGAGGGTCTCGCTGTGCAGTTCAGGTTGGTCTTGAACTCACTTTGTAGCCCATGGTGGCCTTGAACTCACAAGAATCCTCCTGCCTCAGTTTCCCAAGTGCTGAGATTACAGGCTTGTGCTACCATGCCTGACAAGATTGTTCATTTCTTATAGAAGATGTCGTCACTACTGGTGTGGATATTTGGAGCCCAGAATCTTGCTTGCTTGTATACTCTTGATTGAGTTAAGAGAAGCTGCTTTGGGGGCTGGGGATATGGCTCAGTAGCATAAGTGCCATTCTGGCAAGCACAGAGTCCCAAGTTCAATTGCAGATACAAAACAAACAAATAAAAAACCAAAAAAACCTCAACAGAGTAAAGCTGCTGCTGCAGGGTGCTGGGGAGGAGGTGTGGACAGAACTCATAGCCTTCTCGTTGTGCTTGTGGAGCACAGAGAAACAGCATAGAAAAACTCACTATTTAAGCCTTCTTTAGAGTTCTCTGAAGAGCAGATTTAAAAAATCTAAGTCAAGTTAATAAAGACTTCTGGCTGTTTCTTTTATCTCTTGGCTTAAGATGTTACTTAGCAGTTCTTTGGGAATATTACATACCTATCTCTAAGCAGTTTTTCTTTTTTTTTTCATGACCTCGCGCTTGCCAGGCAGGCACAATGCCACTAGCTGAGTCCCTGGCCCAGCAGTTTTTCATTTACATACTCAAATTAAGGGTACTTTTGATAGATTGAGATGTGTTACATGTATTTTCAAAGACTGTTAGAATGAGTCAAATTGTGACCAGAAATTCCGTTTCCTCCCTGAACACCTATTTAGTGGCTAGGTAGGTCACCTAAACTATTTATTTTTTGGTGGCTTTAAAAAGATCTCCTGATAGTTTGGAAGTTTTGGAGATAAGCGTTGGATTCAATGTTGGGTGTCTTTACCAAGGCAAATTAAGTGCCATAAATATTAAGTGAGCAAATGAACTCCTTAGCACATTTAGCACATTCTGTGCTCTGTGTTTACATACAAGGGGAAAATTTTCTTCACTTTATTCATTCTCAGCCCATGAGCTCCATGGCAGTTAATACACATCTCAAGCTGTGCCTCTGAGAACACGGGTGGAGCACAGGGAAACCAGACATTTTCTAAAGCACACTCTTTTCTGAGATGGTTCTCACCAGGCTGGCCTTCTGCTTCGCCTCCTTAGTACTAGGGTTCCAGATGTGTGCCACCTTACCAAGCTGAAGCACACACTTAGACAACTTGTTGTGAATACCTGTTGATTTTCTGAGAAAGACCTTTTGCTGGAAATGGCCTTCTTTTTCTTGCCTTAATTTCATTTCCTTCAAGTAACGTTGTGTTTCAAGAAAAGCTTTGTAGAGAATGTTTTTAGCATTAATGTAAAAATTTTTGTGTTATACCTTAAAATTATGGTTATGCTTAAATTAGTCCTTCTAAGTAGGATATTCTACCATGTAAGACCTTGCTTTTACACAGTGTTATCTGGCTCTTTCTGGGATGAATTATTTTCCAATAATTTTTCTTTGGCTATTGATAAGGACAATCATTATATTTATTATTATCCTATGATAATTACTTCATTTATAAGTGACAGGCCTGGCTTATCTGATAATAATTAAGTCCTCCAGGGTTGAGTGGCAGTTTCTCTGCCTCAGCTTCCGAAGTGCTGGGATTACAGGCAAGCATCACCATGTCCAGCATAGACAGTGTCATTCTTAACAGTTGTTATGGCTGAGTCTAGACATCCCCCTAAAGCCTCAGGCAGTCATAGGTGGGACTTTTTCAGAGACAGCTAAATCTAGAGTTTGTGATGCTGGGATTGACTCAGTGCAGTGCTAACATCAAGGGCACTGGGATTAAGGGTATAAATGCCACTTTCCCTAAGTAGCCTGGATAAAATGTAAGAGATAAAAAGAGCTGTGGTTTTTCCTTGCTTGCTTTTGCTTTGCCACCTTCTACCTGCCATGAACTGTTTCTCCTCTGTGATGGTTGTCTGCCATGCCATCCTGCCCAACTGGCTGATTATGAACTGAAACCTCCCACAAACTGTGAGTTAAACCTTTTCTCCTTTAATGCCAGGTGTTGGGTATTTTGTCTCAGCAATGAGAAAAGTAACTAAGACAACAATAAAACACCTGTAATTCCAGCACTTGGGGGCTGAGGCAGGAGGATCTGGGCCAGTCTGGGCTACATAAGCTAGTTCAAGGCCAGCCTGCACTACAAAGTGAGACCCTGCCTTAAAAAAAGAAAAAAGTAAAACAATAAAACAAGAAGGACTTGTCTGTGGGTGGAAGCTGTAGAAGACAGGCAGGCCTGGTAATAATGCCCTCCTCACCTGGCTTCATTGTGTTGTGAAAATGCATTAGGGTGATTGTGGTGCTGTTTCCAAACAGCAGGGACAGACTGACATAGATTTATAGCTTTATTAGGGTATGATTGGTGCATAAATGTGTACATAATTAATGTATACAATTTAATATGTTTTGACACATATATCCACTTTTTTTACCATCAGCATAATCAAGATAAACTTCTACCAATTTCCTTATGCCACCTTCACCCTTTTTTGTACTAGGAACACTTAAAATCAACCTTCTTAAATTTTTAAGTGAACAGTACCTTATTCTTAGGTGTTAGGTTATGGTCTCTACAGCGTAGTAATTCTGAGTGACTAACAAAGACATTTTTATGGAAGTCTTCTGCAGGTTTCTAGAAACCCAAAAATTGTCTGTAGCATTCTGGAACATTTTGGTTTTCTGTTAAGATAAGATCCAGTTGAGAAGTTATTCAAAGTTAGCTAGACAGATGATGCAGCATTTCCCCCCACATTGTCTGGTTTTCCTCAAAAGACTCTCTTCTTTCCTTTAGTGAGATAAGCCGTCTGGACCTGGGCCTAAGTGTGGAAGTGTGGAACAAAGGGCTGATCTGGGACACCATGGTGGGGACCGTGTGGATCGCACTGAACACTATTCGTCAGTCGGATGAGGTCAGTCAGTGCATTGTGAAGGTTACCCTCGCTTTTCCTCATTTTAGCTCCACTTTAGCTGGTTATGGTGACCCTTTTCTGATTGTATGACCTGTCATTCTTAATCTCGCCCAGAGAAGTAGGCTGTTCCTGTGTCCTATGGCTGAGCCCCAGCTGGGGTGAACTCAGAGGTGCCAAAGTGCCTCTTTGTCGGGGGAATAGCTTCACCCAAGTAGTGCTCCTGTGTGTACACACGATCTCCTGAGGATGGTGCCCTGGAGAGTCCCATTCAACCTCCTTATCCAGCTGGCGGGATTCTGGTTTTTTGGTTTGTTTCTTTGAGTTATGCAAGGAAATTATTTCAGGCCTTTTCTTCCGCATGTAACCCTACAGAGTTTAAGGAACTGCCAGGCTTGGGAACTGGTATTCACACTATTTCTATACATTATTTGTAGAACAGAACTCCCGTTTTACTTCCTCAGATTAGATTGTAACTCTGATAACATCGTTTCCCTAGTTAGAATCACTTTGTAGCCAGACAGAAGCTACTATATTCCCGTGTGACTCTAGCATGAGCAGGGACTTTTTTTTGGAAGTGGGAATGTTGAAGACATTGCCTGTATTTCTGTATTTCTTTTATTCTGGCTAAATCTCTGCACCCCTAGATGTAATTTTCATTATAGCCCTCGTTCAGATCTATTAGCTAGTAATGTCAGGAGCTCTTCACTGATAAGAAACAGTGATACATATTATTAAGTGACACGGTCAGTGAGAACCATGCACATTAACTATTAATCCATGGAGATACTTGCTAGAGTGTGGTGCTCTAGTAATTCTGTCCTCAGAGAGAACTGATTACCAGGAAAGCTGCTCTCCCTACCAAAGCAGAAGAATAAGAGCCACATGCCACCCAGGTGACAGTGGCCTTTTAGCCTGTCAGGATGAGTGGCCCTCTGAAGCTCTCAGAGAAAAACACCTGACTCTCGAATTAAGAGGGGAGCCAAGGAAAAGCGTAAAATTTAATCTTGGATTTTTTTCTCCTAGGAAGGGCCTGGGGAGTGGTCTACCTTGGAGGCAGAGACATTAATGAAAGATGATGAGATTTGTGGGACTAAAAACCCAACTCCTCATAAAATTTTGCTTGATACAAGATTTGAGTTGCCATTTGGTAAGTCTATTTAATGAGATTTTTTTTTTTCTTTAGACAGGGTTTTTCTATTTTTCTTTCTAGTTAGGCTGGCCTTGAACTCACTGTGTAGGTCAGGCTGGCCTCAAACTTGCAGTGATCCTTCTGCCTCAGCCTCCTAGTACAAGAATTACAGGTGTACACCACCACACCTGGCACAGTTGATTTTAAAAACCACTTGATTCTTTTTATCATATTGTTTGAAATTATGTGCTAGTTGTTTCATTAATATGTTTTGTCTTCTCAGCCATTTCTTCAGAGGGCATAAAGACTTCATGCACTTTATGTTCCATGTCTTTAGTATGGTACTCATTAAAGAATCCACACTAAAAAAGCATGTTCTTCAAGTCACTTAGCCCCGTGATTGTAATGATCTGTGAATATGTGCTTGTGAAATTTATTCTTCAACATTTGTTATCACAAGGTGAATATATACCTTCTGATTTATTAATTTAAAGTTGAGCTGGGTGTAGTGGCGCTTGCCTGCCATCCTGGCACCATGCGAGGCTAAGGCAGGCAAGAGGAGTAGTTCAAGTTCAAGCCCAGGCAACTGAGTGAGACCTTGTCTCAAAACAGGCAAAAAATAAAAGATAAAATGAAACAAAAAACACTGAAGAACACCGATAAATAAAAGTGTATATTTTCGTGTGTATGTGTTACTAAAGATTACACACAGCGCCACTCTACCCCTGAGCTGTCTCCACAGCCCTGGTTTTTGTTTTTGTTTTTTCCATTTTGAGGCAGTCTTATTATGTTGCCTAAACAACCTCAAATTTGAAGTCTTTGTCCCCCAGCCTCCTGAGGAGCATGTGCCACCACATATAGCTAGTGTGTCACCTGTAGAAATAGATTTTAAAATCACAAAAAACACTTGCTTAGGATAAAAATTTAAATAGGGAGGAAATATATGTAGATAAAAATTAATAGACTCTTGTTCTACTTCTTTCCACTTCCTTTGCATCCCCCAGAGGTAAACCACTGTTGACTTTTTTTGTGTTTTGGTTTAGACACAAGATATTTATTTTCTAGAAATTTACTTCAGTAAAATTGCTTTGGAGAGATAATGTATTACTGTATAAACTACTGAAACATGTGTCTGGGACATTGTTCCGTTTTATACTTTAAGATCTTCCCTATCTGAACAAGTACCTTCATTGTAATATATCCAGGTAACCCTATACTGATTGACATGTCGGTTGCTTCTAATGTTTTAAGTAGTATGTATTACTGTCATTTAAAATCTGGGCCCCATGATGAGTCCAGGATAAATGCCATAACATAGAACTGCAAGACCAAAGAGGATACACATCAGTACATGTCTTAGATGCTGCAAAGTTACTTGATAAAAAAGTCGTGTAATTTATATTCTGGTCAACTATTCGAAGAGTACTTACTTTTGCCAACATTTTTTATTTCCTTTTTTTTTTTTTTTTTTGGTCTTTTTCCTTTTTATCGGTACCAGGGATCAAACTCACGACTGCCTGCTTGCAAGGCAGGCGCTTATGCCGCTGAGCTAAATCCCCAGCCCCTTATTTCCTAATTTTTAATTTAGTTTTGTTTTTCGTTTTTGGTGCTGGAATTCAAACTCAGGACCTTACACTTGCCAGGCAGGTGCTGTGCTGCTGAGCTGTATCTCTGGCCCCTTGTTCTCACAAAGTTTTAGTAGATTTTTTTGAGTAAATATTTCTTTGCTGTGTGCCCTAAGAACAGTACCAAGGGTGAGATAACTGGATTGCATGGTGATTAAATAAATACATTTGTTTATTTGCAGTACTCAGGGTTGATTGAACTCATCGCTTTGAAGCTGAGCTACATCTCCAGTTCCTTTTTTCCCTTCACTCTCTCTCTTTCTTTCTTCTTTCTTCTTTCCTCTCTTTCTGTCTTTTCTTTTCTCCCTCTTTCTCTTGTTTTCTCATTCTCTCTTGCTTGCTTGCTTCCTTTCTTTCTTCCTCATTTCTTTGTTCTTTCCTCTCTTTCTTCTCTTTTTTCTCTGTCTCTCGTTCTCTCCTTTTTGCTTTTCTTTCTTTCTTTCTTTCTCTCTCTCTCTCTCTCTCTCTCTCTCTCTCTCTGTCTCTCTTTCTGCCTGCCTTCCTGCCTTCCTGCCTTCCTGCCTTCCTTCCTTCCTTCAGGGGTGGGTACCTGGACATTCAGTGGGAATGTCTAGGACCTTGTGCTTGCCAGCAGGCCTTTGTACCACTGAGCTGTATCTTCAGCCCATCTAGCCCCTTCTAAATAATGTTTATTTTGAGACAAGGTCTTGCTAAGTCACTAAGTTGCCTGGGGGGGGGGCATCAACTTGACCATCCTCTTGCCTCAGCCTTTCAGAGTGCTGTGATTATAGGTGTGTGACATTATACTCAGCTAAATTTTGATCATGTTTGTATCCCAAGATCCAGCTTTTCATCTAAGTTGGTCTTTTGGACTGTTTTGGCCTTGCTGAGTGGAAGGTAGCATGGTTATACAGAAAATACAGTTTATGAAGTTATATTGGCCACAGTTTGAATCATAGCTGGTGAGTGACCATAGCCAAGGTATTTAACTTTTTTCCTTTTTTGGCTATGTAGCCCAGGTTACCCTGGGACTTGCTATGTAGGTTCAGGTGGCATTGAACTTGTGACCCTTCTGCATTAGTCTACTGAGACATACAGCACCATGCTTGGCTATTTAACTTTCTGAGCTTCAGATTCTTCATTGCAAAATAGAACTTTGGGACTAGTATAGTAATACGTTATATCAGTTTTAGTAAAAATTTAAAATAATGTTCATGGCAAGAACTGAGTCACCAGTAAAATTCATATATTATCACCACCTTTGAAACTGTAAGCATTTGACCAGATAAGTATTATTCTACAAGTGATTGAAGTGTGGTCAGTATGGCTGATACTTCTTCATTTTTGTGGTAGATATCCCAGAAGAGGAAGCCAGATATTGGACTTACAGATTGGAGCAAATGAATGCCTTGGGAGCTGACAGTGAGGTAGGAGTGGTCTTTCCTTTTATAGATTACTATAAAAAGAAAAACACTGTAAGTACTGAGGGGAAATGTATTGTTTTATACCCATTTTAGCTTTCATTACAAATTCAATTTTAAATCAATTTATTTTTTATGATGTATTTTATATTTATAATAATTATACTTCACACTGTACTTTTGACTTTACAAGCTTTTTACCACTATACAGAATTAGTTGGAATGATTAAAATGCTAAAACTACTATAATTTTGATAAATATTCCAGAATTTTACAAATTTTAATAACAGTGGTTCTGTTGTTTCCAACTCCTTGTGAGATTTTTGCTCCCTATTTGTCTTTTAGGTCAAGATGTGGTACTGACTAAGTTTACATCTTTCATCTTATACCACTCTGTTTCTGTTTCTTTTCCTTTTCTCTCCTTGTACTGGAGATCAAACTCAGGATCTCGTGCTTGCCAGGCAGATGCAGTGCCACTGAGCTGCTACTGAGCTACATCCCCAGCCTGGGCCTGTTTTTGAGTCACTGTGTATCCCAGCCTGGCCTCTAATTCATAGTGATCCTCCTGCCTCAAGCTCCTTCTGGGTGCTGGGATTAGAGGAGTGTGCCACCCCATCCGGCTCTCGTTCCTGTTTTTTGAGATGAGGTTTTGCTGTGTAGTTCAGGCAAGAACTGAACTCATTATGTAGCCCAGGCTGCCCTCAAACTCGTGGCAGGCCTCCTGTCTCAGCCTCCCAAGTGCTGGGATTACAGGCGTGACTCATGCCTGGCAGCATTGCTTTCCTTCCTAGCTTTTGTCCTTTTACTGGAGATTCATCTGGGACATTGTGCATGTCAGGCAAGTACTATCCACCAATCTGTATCCCTAGCCCTTCGAGAGCCTTTTGAAACATAATTTTTAATTGACCCATTTAAAGTGTGCAAATCAATGGATTTTAAAATATTTAGAGTTGTACATCTATCACCACAAGCAATTCTGAAAATTTTCATTGCTCCATAAAAAGACCCTGTACTCTTAACCATCAGTCTCAAATCCTTCATTCTTCTCCGCTCTGGACAGCCATCAGTCTACCTTCTGTTTTTCTATGTTAACTTGGTCTAGACATTTCAAATAACTGGAATTATATTTGGACCTTTGTGATTGTCTTCTTTCAGCTAGCATGTATCTCCTATTATTAGCATTTTTTATTAGTGTGGTGCATGTATTACAGATAATGAAATGATACTAATAATATAGTATTAACTAAAGAATTATTACTATGTATTTTATTAACTAAAAGTTTGAAAATTTTATTGTACAGAAATCAAGTATTCCAGTATCCCATCCAGGTTATTGTGTTATATTTAGTAGTCACGCTTTTTTTTTTTTTGTACCTGGGATCAAACTCACAACCTCATGCTTGCCAGGCAGATGCTTAGGGTGCTGAGCTAAATCCCTGGCCCAGTAGTCACACTTTCTTTGCTGTCACATTTTTCAGACTTTCCTTGTTTTTTTTATGATCCTTATTTTTAAAAATTCATTGCCTAAGACACCTAGGACTCTCAGCCCTGTATCCATGGATTCTGCATCAGTGTAAATAACCTTCCTTGAGCTGATGATACTGAGAAAAATCCACCTGCATTGAACATGTACATATTTCTGTGTGTGGGTTAGAAACTAAACATGGGGCCTTACATGATACTAAGCTTGTGCCGTGCCTCTGGCTGTATCCTTAACCCCAGAAGGACTTTTTCTTTGTTGTAATCGCTCCCAATGCCATAGTCTGACAACACAGCTTTTACATTGTCTTAGATATTGTAAATACTCTAGACATGTCTAAAATATACAAGAAAATGTACATAAGTTGAATACAAATATTTGCCATTTTATATAAGAGTTTGAGCATCTGGATCCTGAGATGCACTGAGTGAGTGTCCCCATTGCTAATGGGTGGTAAATGTGTAATTTGTAATAGAAAGTGGAGAGCCCTGTCTGTTTCGTAACTATATGAAGATTGCTTCATCTTAAAGTATGACTTTAAAATTTGTCATTGACTTTGGTGGATATTCCTTATCAGATTAAAAAATTCTATTTTCTTTCTGATTTTCTAATCATTTTTGTTATGAAACTGGGATTTGAAATAACATTAACCTTTATCTATTAGATAACAGAATTTCCCCTTTCATCTCTTTTTTTTTTTTGTCTTTTTCCTTTTTATCGGTACCTGGGATCGAACTCATGACTGCCTGCTTGCAAGGCAGGAGCTTATGCTGCTGAGCTAAATCACCAGCCCCCCCCTTTCATCTCTTTAATGTGGTGAATTATATAAGTAGATTTATAGATACTTAACTGTCCTTGCGTATAAAGCTCACCCAGTCAGGTTATATGTGCTTTTTTATGCCAGTATACATATATATGCACATATGTGTATACACATTTACATAGAAATATTACATACTTCTATAGTGTCGTGAATTGTGCTAGTAGCCTTTTAGTATTTTTGTATCTATGTTCATAGATGAGGGTGATCTGTTTTCCTTTCTTACAGTATTGTTTTCAGGTTTTTATAGTTAGATTTTTTGTTTTTTGTCTTTTTAGATAGAGTTTCACTGTGAAGTTCAGGCTGGCCTTGCACTCACTTAGTAGCGCACACCATAACTGATCATCTTGGTGTTAGGATTATGCAGAGAAAATAGCAGTTTGTTTCAGTTCAATAAAAATTTAACTCAGGTCAAACAAACACTAACCTTTTTATAGGTGGTTGAGATGTTTTTCCCTATTTACTTGGGCCTCTTATTGCATATGTATGTGTGTTATTTTTTTTTCTCACTTCCTCTTTCCTTCTAGTATTCTATGCAAGAAGAAAGCCAGAGGAAGCCACTGTCCACTGCTGCCACCCAGTGTTGTAAGTGAGAAACTGGCCTCTGAACCTGTCTTAATTGCCGCTTTCTGTAACCTTCTTCAATATGGCTTATTTTGAGTTGGGGGTGGTAGAGACATAGTGCGTATAAACTGCAGATATTCCGGAGGTCCTGCTGTTAAGACACAGGCTCCAGGGGCTGCTCATCCATCATCTTCAGAAAGAGGTTTTGTGTGCTTTTGGCAGGGTAGCCGTGCTCCTAGTTTTTTTCTGTTTGCAAGCTTTAACTATTGGGTATCTGATTTTACCCTCTCTCTCTGTTTACCTGTTATTTTTCTTTCTTTCTTTTTTCCCCAGTTTTAAGGGGTTAATCCAGGGATTTCCCACTGTTGCTAAATTGCTCAGTCTGAGCTTGAACCTAAACTTGCATCCCAGAGTGCTGGGATTACGGGTGTGTGCCACCATGCTTGGCCTACCTCTTACTGTTTAAGGCTCAGTTTAAACATCATCATTTCTGGGAATTCTTTGTGCTCTTTCCTCCTTCCTGTAAATTAACTTCTGGATTTCCTCTCTGTGGTTCCATGAATCCTCTGTGTACATCTGTTACATAACTGCCACACATTATAACTTACGTTCAATTAATACAGGAACACAGAGTTTTGGAGCAGATTATGTAGCTCAGTGGTATATAGCTGTACCACCTAGCATGCACAAGGCCCTGAGTTTGATCTTCAGCACTGTAACAAATAACAAAACTGCCACATTTTCAAAGATGACGTTTTTCTATTTTTTACTTCCTGATTCAACAACTAATAGATAGCAAACCTCAGTAAAGTTTAATAAATGATTGACCTGGTGAGAGAATCCATCATTTCTCCTGAGATTAATTTATTTGGATCTCAGAGATTCCTTCCAGAAATGAGCCACACATCATTGGTATATTACTACCTTCTCTGTGTCTTTGGGAACAGGTAGAGGAGAGAGTAGAGGACCAAGTTAGTCTGTTCCATTTGAGGTTTCAGCCTAGGAGAGATGTGTGTTCATGTATATACATGTGCCCCTTATGTGTTGCCATCGTTTTTTTTTTTTTTTTTTTTTTGTCTTTTTCCTTTTCATCGGTACCAGGGATCGAACTCACGACTGCCTGCTTGCAAGGCAGGCGCTTATGCCGCTGAGCTAAATCCCCAGCCCCGTTTTTTTGAATCCATCACCAAAGCCCTTTGATTGTAGGATGAAACTGGTGGTGGGAGAAGTTGTCATAGTAATACAGAAACCACAGGAGGCAGCATAGATTAATCTCTTGACAGTAAACCAGATGCTATTCTAAGAACTTAAATATGTTCAATTGTTTAATCTCCACAACAACCCTAAGATACAGATTTTACTCTTGTCCTCATTTTTTCAGATGAAGAAGCTGAGGTATAAAGAGATTGAGCTGTGATGTCCTAAATTTTCAAACCCAGACATTTTGACCCCATACCTTACACTGCCATGTTACACTGTTTCCTTGGTAATGTTTGGGAGAGCTTCTGTTCGCCATTGATTGCTTTCTAGCTCTCATATAAATTCTCATATGATCCCTTTCTCATATTATTTATTACTGCCATTTCTGTTTTCCTTTGCTATTTAGGTCATAGGAGCCAAAAAAATCTGAAATCTGTAGGTTCTTTTCCAAACTTACTGAAATGAGTTAATTTTTACTTCTTAATCTTTTGAACCTTTTTTCCCAGGACTGCTATTGAGACGTGAAATGAATGATTAAAATTTCATATCCTGTTTCTTTCTGGGCTCATGTGATGAAATGCAGTTGAAGTGATTAAAGAGCAAATGCCAAGAGGCCAGGGAGAAATAAAATGCAATAGAAAATCAGTAGGTTTGTTAACTCTGATGCAGTTTTACTTGTTTATTGGCTACTTTTTATGACGAGTTCATTCTTGCATTTTCGCTGCTCTTTTATTCATTTTCATCTTGGAGAATTTTAAATCTGTAGAAAAGCTGAGCCAGCAGTTTGGTGAGTGCCCATTACTCTTTTACTAGACTCAGAAATTAACGTTTTACCCCATTTATTTCTCCCTCTTATTTTTCTGTCATATTTCTTTATATGACTTTTTATATAATCTATTTTTATGTAAACTGGACACTTCATTAACACAGTAGCATGTATTTCCTAACAAGTAGGGCTGTTGACATAACCCAAATACTGTCATCACAACTAAGAAATTTTTTTTTTTTTTTTTTTTTTTTTATTGGTACCAGGGATCGAACTCATGACTGCCTGCTTGCAAAGCAGGCACTTATGCCGCTGAGCTAAATCCCCAGCCCCACAACTAAGAAATTTAACATCAACATAATATTATCTAAAATAACACCTAAGGGTTGGAGGCTCAGTGGTAGAACACCTGCCTAACCTGTGTGAGATCATAGATTTAATGCTTAATACCACAAAAATAAAGACAAAACAAAACAAAACAAAAACATGTTATCAACAACCACTCTTCCATTTAACTGAGTGTGGTGGTGCATGGTTACAATCCCACAATTCAGGGGAGTGAGGCAGGAAGATTGCCACCAGTTTGAGGTCATTGTGGGCTACCCCAAATAACCGAAAAACAAATAAAAAGCCAAAAAAGTTTGTGTGAGAAATGGACATTTACATGTTCCATTCGTGCTATAGGAGCATTGGATTTTTATCAGCTTTGAATATTGGTGCTTATGCTGCTGAGCTAAATCCCCAGCCCCTACATATTGTCATCTTAACAATAGTTGTTAAAGTTACAAAATCAAATCATAAAAAGTGGCTAGACTCTCGAACATTGACAGTACAAACTCTTCTGTTCAATGATGTAACAAAAGCTCAGTAATGTGGTCATCTATCTTACACACTATACATACCATTATATCCTTTAGAGCACTTTCCTTCCCTTTCAGTTTTGTAATATCTATTATATCTACTATATTTTTATATCTATTATACTTTTTGGATGCCATTCTGTCAGTTCTTATTATTTTTTACACTAGAGAGACAATGTGATATTTACTACTGTGAGTCTTGTTTATTCACTAATGAGGATATTCTCAAGTTCCTCCATTTAGCAAAAAGGCCTCAAGATCATCTTTTTTATAGCCGAATAGTATTCCATTGTAAAAATATACCACGTTTTTTTCATCCACTTTGCGGTTGATGGACATCTTGGTTGTTTCCAAGATTTAGCTATTAGAAATTGTGCTGCTGTGAACGCTGGTGCATATGTATCACTGTGATATAACCTTTTCAATTTTTCTGGGAAAATACCTGGGAGGGGACTAGCTGGATTGAATGGAACTTCCAATTCTAGTTTTTTGAGGAATCTCCATACTGATTTCCACAGTGGCTGCACCAATCTGCACTCCCATCAACACTGGAGGAGTGTTCCTTTTTCCCCACATCCTCGCCAACATTTGTTACCAGTAGTTTTCTTGATGGCAGCCATTCTTTTTCTCGAGTGACCAGTGATGGTGAACATTTCTTCATGTATTTATTTGCCATTTGTATATCTTCATCTGAGAACTGTGTGTTCATCTCTGATGCCCATTTTTGGAGAGGGTCTTTGAATTTGGAGGGCTTGATGTTTTTTAGTTCTTTATATGTTCTGGATATAAGTGCTTTGTCTGAGGGATTGTTGGCTAAAATTCTTTCCCATCCTGTGGAATTTCTTTTTACTTTGTTGGCGATTTCTTTTGAAGTGCAAAAGCTTTTTAGTAATATATAATCCCAGTTGTTGATTCTTTGAAATATTTTCTGTGTGGATTGCATTTATTCATGAATTTTCTTCCTGCCCCTACCAAGATTTCTACCTGTCTTATCTTCCAGAAGATTTAGTGTTTCTGTTTTTAATATTTAGATCTTTGATCAATTTTGACTTTAGTTTAGTGCATGGTGATAGGTGTGGGTCTAGTTTCAGTTTTCGACATGTGGAAAGCCAATTTTTCCACACCATTAAAGAGGCTATTGTTCTTCCAGTGAACATGGTTAGTCTCTTTGTCAAATATGAGGTGGCTGATTGTCTTTGTATCTTTTAATCTGTTCCATTGATCCTCAGATCTATTTCTTTGCCGCTATCATGCTGATTTTATTACTGTGGCTTTATAGTATAGTTTCAAGTCAGGAATTCAGATGCCTCCTGTCTTGCCTTTGTTGCCCAGAATCACCTTTGCTATTCTAGGTTTTTTTCTGTTTCCATATGAATTTTAGGAATGTTTTCTCTAGATCTGTAATGTATGTTAATGATATTTTGATTGGCATTGCATTAAATCTGTATAACAGTTTTGGGAGTATGGCCATTTTCACAGTGTTGGTTCTTCCTAACCAAGAGCAAGGATATCTTTCCATTTTCTAGAATCCTCTTCAGTCTCCTTTTTTAGAGTAATATAATTTTCAGCATATAAGTTTTTTACATTCTCGGTTAGATTGATTCCTAGGTATTTCATTTTTTTAGATGCTATTGTGAAAAGCAGTATTTCCATAATTTCTCTCTCATGGAGTTTTTTGTTTGTGTACAGGAATGCTATTGAGTTTGAGTGCTGATTTCATATCCAGCTATGCTGCTGAATTTATTACCTCAAGTAGTCTTTTTTTTTTTTTTTGTCTTTTTCCTTTTTATCGGGACCGGGGATGGAACTCACGACTGCCTGCCTGCAAGGCAGGTGCTTATGCTGCTGAGCTAAATCCCCAGCCCCCGACCTCGAGTAGTCTTTTAATGGAGTTTTTTGGGATTTTCTATGTAGAGTATCATGTTGTCTGCAAATAATGATAATTTAATTTCTTCTTTTCCCATTTTTATTCGTTTTATTTCTCCCCTTTATCTGATTGCTCTGGCTAATATTTCTAGAACTGTGTTGAATTGGAATGGTGATAGTGGACATCCTTGTCTTGTTTGTGATTTTAGAGGGAAGGCTTTCAGTTTTTGTCCATTTAGTATATTGTTGGCTATTGGTTTATCAAGGGTGGCCTTTATGAGATTGAGATGCATACCGTCTACTCTGAGTTTCTGTAGTTTTTATCACAA